ATTGTTAGTTATTTGTACTGCAATTTTGTTTGGTATTTATACACTTGTCCGCTGCCACTTTTTTATTTTTTGCTTTGCTTTGTCCTAACTGAGTCATCTTCGTGCAGACAAAACTGCAATCTCAACCTAAACGAACACCTTTTGCTGTAAATAAATTTGCTAAGCTAAGGTACAAAAAAGAAAAAAAAAACGTTTACGTTTCATACATACATGCACATGCTGTATAAAATAGAAGAAAAAATTACAACAACAATAACAATCAAACTAACTATAACCACACTATGGTTAATTTTCATGTTGTTTACTTGTATGCCAACAAGCAGCACATATACGTACACACATAGTTCACCATGACGCAAACCCATATCCACATGCATCTATATATCTATGTCTGGTCAAGGGTTTTTGGTTTTACTCTGACTTGACTAGTTGGTCTTAATTTCAAGTTGAGGTAGCTTGGAAGATTTATTTGGGTCAAGAAGTTACCCATTTATAACAATAACTCTTTCACCAACGGTTCCTTTACACATTTCACATCTTTGCCCCGAACATAGTTTGGCGTGGCAGTGCAGCAATTGAGCTCTGCTTTCTGTCTGTGTTCTGTTTCGTTTTTTTGTGCATTGCAAATTATGCAAAGCAACGTAAATAAGGACGATTTGTATTCGAAATTACGAAAGGAAAATATTCTTGGTCAGACCAATGCATAATGAATGTAAGAATGGATGACTGAGTGAATGTAAAGGTAGTAACAAAATTATTTCATGAAGCATTAATGCAAATGGAAGGGTTGAGAAATGTTAAATGGATTTTCATTTCCTCCATTTTTGTTAGATTTTGATAGGATCTCTATGAGAGTTATGGTTGGATGTATATCTTTTGTAAAATTATGGTCATTCAAATAGAGACATAATTTTCAAAAAAAAAAAGAAAGGTGAATGATAATGACAAGTAGGAGAAAAATGCTGAATATTTAAAACCATCATTTGCTTGCATTGAGAAATTTTAAATAAGATAAAAACAAAATGTATTTTTATCTTTATATTTATGTCATAGTATAATGAAGAGGTCTTCTATAAGAGCTGTATATATTTATACGACAATTATTAATGCGTAATGTAGCTGTAAGAATTTTAAAATGTATCCCAAAAATTTGAACCTTCTTTAAAAATACTTATATATTTTATTAACCTCCAAATCAGTCTCGAAATCCACATCAATTTCAGGGAATAACATTTCTATATAAATAATTGTTTGACTTTTTGTTGAAATCGGCATGTTATTTCAGTATATGTGAAATAGGGGAAATATCCAACTCTACCGTAAGAGAAAAGTTAATATAAATATCAATAAATATGATACTAAAGTATTAAGTGTTAAATAAAAAGTTTTAGGCATGACAATATTGCTTTAGATCTTCAAATAAAGAACACATATGATCTGAACTTCCTATCAGGGAATAAGAAAATTTAGAAAATTTTCGTAGAATAGAAACACAAAAAAAGGTAAAGTATGAGAAGTATTCATATAATTGGACGAATTCTTTATAGAAAAACAATCGATAATAGATCGATAATAGATTCTCATAGAACAAGAGTCAATGATCTTCCCATAGACTAAGAAAGGACTTCCCATACATGATCGATATAAAGAAAAAAGAAAGTAAAATACAATGTCGATTTTTATCCGTCTGTCAAAGACACAATAGAGCTAGTAATATATAATACAGAGATAAAAAATTTCGCACATAAAATGTTCACCTAAATTCGTGACGTCAAACATTTAGGTATTTTGGAGGATTTCGCTACATTTTTCATCTAAAGTGGCTACCATTTGGCAATCCGATTCATGGGGAAATAATACTTCTTCGCAGAAAATATTTCAATATATTTTTGTTTGGAAAATTTCAATTTATAGCTGCAAATATTGTTTTATAATAACTGTATAACCGATTAGAAATAACCTATTAATAATCGGAAGGCCGACCTCTTCTATAATGTTTAAAATGTTAATAGGTTAATAGAGTTTGCCTGCCTATGTGTCCATTTCAATCTTCCTCCGATGGCACTTGAAAAAAAAAATCGTATTAAAAATATATTTGAAGAAACTCGCTGCACGTTGTGTATCAATGAAGCTGGCCCCACGTTGGGCGCCAGTGAAGAAACTCGAAACAACAAGATTTACAATAATGTTGGCTACTCCTTGTTTAGGAACTACTTCCAGCTTACGATCTAGTCGATCAACTTGGGCAAGTGTGGGTAATGATTTTAAGCCTTCAGTGTTCGCTTAAACGAATTAGAATCGGGGGGTCCGGACTCGGAGTGAAGCGATTTTATTGAAATTTGGGTTTGCTTATGTACTACATTTATCTAGTATTGGTTGTATAAAAATGTAGTAATATCAGAGATGTAGGTTTTGGTACTATTTACAGACTATTTACATAAATAACCATTAATTTTCAAATATTTAAATAAGTGTTGCATTTTAGTATTCAAATGATCAATAAAACGTATGTGTTTATACTAAAGTTTTAACATTTGAATAAAAATAGAGTTGATCCGCTTCATATTTATTTAGTAGCTTTGGCGGTTTATTTGAAAACCCATTTGTATTTTCTTATTGCAAAATAGTCCGGCTTAATCCCAGTTTGCTGTTTAAAAAAAATTATTAATTAGTATGGCATTGTCCACCAAGGGGTAAGGCAGGGAAGACAATATTTTCGGATTTACTTAATTATTTAGTATTATTAAATAAATACCTCATATATCTACAACACTACATTCATTGACCTACATTTTAAGAGAAAGTACTTCAAGTCCGCTGTTTTATTATAAAAAACATTACTTAATTTTACTTTTTGAAAGTTTCTTGCCCCTCACATTGTGTGAGGGAATGGATGGATGTATGTTGTCAAGTGCCCGTCTTTGCTATAAAAAAAAAACTATGAAGAACAAGAGCATACACTTAACACCAATAGGAGAGGGAAAGGATGCGGGAGAGGTCCAATGAAACTGTAAGGAAACAGATAATAATTTATATATTTAACCAAAACCCCTACGCTACTTCCTTCATGAAGAATGTCCATATTTTTGCATTTTTTGTTGAGTTCAAGCCATATATAGCGGAGGTGTACGGTAAAAAGTTGAAACAAATTAATGTTAAACATTTATATAAAGTTGTTGCATCCAACGATATTGTGCAAAAAAATTATGAATTTTCAACTGATTTCAGTATGCCAGATATGCGTCGTTTAGGCTCACCTAAAGGGATATCACATAAATTCCCATTTTTAATATGAAGTCTCAATTACTACAAATGACCTCTGAAAAAATTCTTTATATTTAATGTCAAAACATATATATTTTTTTCGTATTAATTACATTTGTTGTCATTTATTTTTTTTCACACAGAAATAACCCGCTCGTATTTGACGTATATTTTCTTTTCCCAAGTAAATGTCTAAGTGTTGTGCTGTTATGTTTATATATCTATATAAGAGCATGCTTAATTGTAGATTGCACTCTCAACGTATTATATTTTTTTCTTACTTCCGTTTCCGTTTTTGTTATAAAATTGCTTGCATGCTTAAGTATACTTAAAATAAACTGCATATGTATATGTGCGCACTATAACTATGGGAATCGTTGGTTCGCAATAAAAGTGGTATTCGACAAGTGCCACATAAGACGTAATGCATATAAATACATACGCTTATTTGTCTTTACGTAATTTCGTTGTATTTAGATGTTTGTAGACACATGAATGCCCATGTGTAGAAAATTTTTATAAATTGTTTTTTTTTTATAATTATTAAACTAGTTTTAAAATTTTGATAAAAATAATAATACGAGTAGGTCTGGAATACGTTACGCATGAATAACAACTGTTCTAAACGAAATCTGTTCCCATTTGAAATCTTTTGTATTGCTATATGAAGATGACAGATGAGTTTATGAATACCTTTTCGAACCTTTTCGAGTCTTCCATGATTGGGTGAATTAATGATGATAGCATGATTTGATATTCTTCACCACAAATTATTAAAAGGTTTAGGGTTTTACTCTAAACCTAAATGGGAGCGATGTAAAAATCATGAGGATTATATCAAAATATAAACCTACATACAAATTTCAGCAAACATATTTTGTAAAATATGGAAAATGCTTCTAAATCCCTAAAAGTACACAATTTGGACCGAACCTGTATATGGGGGCTATCTTTAAACTTAGACCTATGCAGAAAATTTCAGACACTTCAAGAGAGGTTGCGCCTGAAACCATCAATATGCCAACAATTGGGCGATACTGCTTTATGTGGGCTATGCCAGTCTCCAAAATCCCGCAATGCAAAATTACAGTTATTTAGGAGGGAAAATGTGTCTATAACAGAGCTCCGAAATGCTCGCTCGAATTCGAGTAAAGAGTAAAAAAGTATAATAGTTAAATCAAATAAAATGTAAAAATAAAAATCCAATTAATTTATAATGAAGGCATAATTTCATTATTTCCAGAGGAAATATAAATATTTTTTTTCTAATTTTTTTTTTAGAAATAATTATGTTTAAAATAATTCTATCCCACATCCTTTGTACGGAGGGTAATATTCAAATTTCTCTTAAACCGTTCCGGTATTTATGTTATAATATTAGTGTATATATCCTGACGCTCAGATTATAAGCTTTCAAAATATATATGTGTGTTAGTTTAAAGAGCATCTTGTTATGGCAAAAAGTTCAAAAAGTGTCTTTACTGTTGCTTTATTTTATATTTATGCATTTTTAATGGATTTGTTATTCTTCCTAATGAATCCACATTTGTCTCATAACATCTTTGTTATAGTGTAACCTTACATCATCTCTAAGGAGCGTTGACTTTGGTGTCAAGTATCCAAGTATTTAGGTTGAATCGTATTTCATGTTTATTTAGTTACTTAAGGGTAAGGTATTTTCCTTTGCGTGTTTAAGTGCCTACTTAACGGTGTACAATAGAAAACTACGAACTTACCTCATCTTTGCCTTTGACGACACACATTTTCTGATCATCCTCTGGGGAGTTCCATACAAGACGCTGTTGTTCCTGTAGATCGTGTATACTTATATTGTATACAATATTTCTGCAAAAGGAAGCAAAAAAATAAAATACATTTCGTGTTAAATGAAAAGATTAATTTAAAAGTTAAGTTCATATAAATATTTATTATGTAAATTAGGAATTTTACTAGGGGTTTTTTTTTTTTTTTTTTTTTTTTGAAGACAGCCTAAGTCTATTCTGTTTTAAATTCAATCGTCGTAAATTTTGCAATATAGCCGTAAATAGAAATTTTCTGTTTTGCGAAAATTCAATTCATTGTGGTTATGTGGAGTGTTTACCATACTGCTTTCTAATGTTAGGGCATTTTTCAAAGGCAATGTTTGCAGCTTATTTACCACTAAAGAGCAACATGCTATCGACCAACCACTTGCTTTTAACGTTAACCAAAAACAATCATTGCTGCATTGTTTTTCCAAAAAAAAAACAACTACCAATAGTTTAGATGGTTGCAAAAACTTTTCGAACTCTTGACCACTTTGAAAACAAGTAGAATGTTTTAGAACAACTGGCGGTGTGTGTAAACTTCGAAGCCTTCAGCAATGAAAATTCGCATCGAACGCATCAATACTGAAAAAAATGGGCTAATTAAAATTAAGTTTAACGAGGAATACTGCACCAAGTTGCGCATAGTAGTAGTGATCCAACCCCATTTGTTAGCAGATAAAATAGATGCCGACCGAAAAAAAAATTGATTAATCAGTGTATTGTTTGTTTAATGTTAACAAGTATTTAACATCAAAGACATTATGTTGTGCAAAACAGGTGACCACTGCAAGTGAAAAACCTCTACAAAGGTATGTTGGAGTAGTGGGTTTTGAAATGGGTAGTCCTGAACAAACATGCATGATTTCATGGTGTTTAAGTTATAAAAACACACAACTATCATTCTGTAATTGTAGGAGAGTGCTGCTAAATTATAGCAAACAATTGAAAAATATTTTAATATAACTTAGTCGATTGATATTTTTTTTTGAAACGTTTTATATCATCCTAGAACACACACATAAATAGCTTGCTATGATTTTTACGAGACATTTATTTTTAGTGAACAAAACAGGAAAAACATTTTACTTTACATTATCCAGATCCCTTATGAGGACGAAACTTTTAGAACATTTGCAAAACTTCCTGATTACAGGAAAAAAATGAAGTCAAAGCAGTTGAATGTATATCACTTTTTCAATACCAAACATTCAAGGAGCAACATATGGTCGACTTTTAAAACTGGAATGCTTTAGCACTGAAATGCATGATTGATTCACATTTTTGAAATATCAATTGGCATATCAGTTTTTTAAATTTGTCGCATTAATAAAGATATTGTCATGAATTTCAGAAGCATGAAGTTGGGGCTTCCACCAAGGACGAGTCATTTATCTATACTAATAAAAGAGTTAGTCAATCAGTCAGTCAATCTTTGACTGACTGATTTAACGATTCATCAACGCCCAGACGAAGCGGCTGAAGCTAGAACCTTGAAATTTTTGGTGAGGGTCACTCTTGGTACAAATGTGACAGATAAGGCTGCGTTTTTGGAAATTCGTACTAGAACGGTACGGAAAGTACTAAATATGGTATCATTTGTATTTGGCGAAACAGTAGAGCTAGAACTCTGAAATTTGGATTTGGAGGGCCATTGATGGGGTGTAGAATAGATAAAGCAAAGGGCTTTTTGGAAATTCGAACTATAACTATCCGAAAAGTACGAAAATGTACTAAATTTGGTACAATTATGTAGCATGTGAACGGATAGCGCTAAAAACTTGAAATTTGGAGTGTGAATTAAGGTTGAGAAGTAGGGTCCATTTAAGGAGATGGTTTTGAAAGCGTGTACTCATGTGTACGAAAAGTACTATATGGTACTATACGTGGTACAAATTTAATTTGGAGATACAAATTGAGCTGGAATCCTGGAATTTGAAATTAAAATTACCGTCGGAGTGTAGGATTGGGATTTGTAGTTTTGAAAATTTGTTTCTTATGTGTACGGAAAGTACTAAATCGTACTATAATCGGTACAGTTTAGATTTGGGTGAACCGATACAGCGGTAACAATGAAATTTGGAGTCAGGATAACTGTAGGGGTTTGGGATTGGTGTCAGGATTCAGTTTAAAAAAATTAGTAATTAGTACCCATACGTATTGGGTACTAAATGGTACTAAATTTGGTACAATTTGAATATTAGGTGAAACAATAGAGCTAGAATCATGCAATTTGGAGTCAGTATCACGGTTGAGGTGTAAGATTGAAGTATGTAGGAAGTTTTAGAAATATGTACTAAAATTTGGTACAATTTAAATTGTGGGTGAAGCGATAGAGTTGGAAACTTGGATTTAGGATCATTGTGGGGGAGTAGGTTTGGGGTATATAGGTAGTTTTGGAAATTGGTACTACTGTATACTAAACTTGGTACAATTTGAACTGTTGCTGAACCGATAGAGTTGGAATCCTGAAACTTGGATTTAGGATCACTAAGGGGGTGTTGGTTTGGGTTAAGTTGGAAGTGTTTGAAATTCGTACTACTGTGTACTAAATTTGGTACAATTTAATTTTTAACCTATGGAGTTGGAATTCTGAAACATGGATTTAGAATCACTGTCGGGGTGTAGATTGGTACAATTTTAATTGCGGATGAACCGATAGAGTTGGAATCCTGAAAGTTAGATTTATGAGTATTGTCGGGGTGTAGGTTTGGGTTAAATAGGATGTTTTGGAAATTCGTACTATGTGTACTAAATTTGACACAATTTAAATTGTGGGTGAACCAATAGAGTTGGAATCCTGAAATGTATATCATTGTGGGGGGTGTAGGATCGGGGTATGTAGGAAGTTTTGTTGGATGGTTGAGGAGGGTACTTGTGGAAATAATGTGTGATAACAATATGTGTGCAGAAATAAATCCACTCGAAACAAAATTTATTTTCAACAAAAATATCATTTCCATTTTTGTGACCCATGCTTTGCTCAATCTCGGGGTGAAAAGGGCTGTGGAGTCGAATACGACTTGTGGGTTATGCGATTTTAACACGTCGGTGCCATAGGCTACAATACTCTGATGAATATAGCATTATTGAGAATCCTCAAGTAATTGAAGAGTGGACATTACATAACAAACATTGTTTGGTCTATTATTTGCTCCGAAGATATGATTGGACATTACTTTTTCGAATAGATCGCGGGACGATTGTCACCGTCTATCGGAGCCTTATGTTCATATATTAACAGACTTTTTTTGCCCGATATTGAAGCGCCGATATACGACTTTGATAATATGTGATATCAAAAAGGTCGGTTCCACATGACACAATATTGAATCAAATATGGCTTTATAGCAGGAGTCATTTCGTGGTCACGTAATTTCTCGTCAACTAGCCACTAAGATCAAGCGATTTGACACCTTTCGACTATTTTATGGGGCAGCGCGAAAGACCGTGTATATGAAGATATACCTTCAACTCTTGAGCACTTAAAAACCAAAATTCGTCAATGGCTGAGATACCGCCCAATATGTACGAAACAGTGATCGAAAATTACCTCAAAATAATCAATGCTTGCAACAGTTTACGCGCAGGTCATTTAAATGATGTAGTGTTTCATACATAATGCCAATATTTAAACTATATAACAAAAAATATATTTTATGAAAAAATAGTACATATGTTTTATTTAGGGTTACCCATAATTCCCATTTTTGCGGTAATGTTTTCTACACATTTAGAAAAGTCTAGAATTGACCAATTATAATTAAAGATAAAATCTACATTTGAAGTTATTGTGGAAAATGTTGCATAGTACACTATGCACACTCTTCTCTGCGGAGACAATCGAAAAAACAATGATGATAATACCATTATAATATCAGCGATAATATATAATTATTCAGAAAATACTCTTCTATGTTTCTTTTTCTATAAACTCTAACCAAGCTAGACAGTAGCCTTAGATTATATTTAATTTTCATTTTTTTTTTGTAATATTATTAAATACATAATTGTTTGCCTTCTTACGACAATATATTTGTTCCCCTTTTCTAATTATAACAATTTTCAGATTTTGTTCATTAACTAGCTCATAATTCATATTCTTATCGATTTCTAGCTCTAACAGCAACACTTTAAATCCCCATCAACACTCGTGAACTGTGTACATTGTGTTGGCGGCCTACTTAGCTCACTAACCAGCCAACCCAAGATGATGGCCATTCAGCCTTTGCGATTTGCTTGAATGGCTAAAACTAAAGTTAATATCGAACTTTATGTCATTGTTTGACTGGCTGGTTGCCATAATTTATTGCTTGACCAGCCACCAAAGCAAAACCAAAACCAATTCCATAGTGTAGTAGGTTGCAAGGGATTTGAGAGGGATGGATGGATGGAGGGTGGCTGATAGTATAAACACAAAATGTGGCAAAAAGGAGGAAATTAACGGAAGCATTATAATATGGTGGTAACCTAATTTTAAAGTTCGATGGTAAGAGATGTTATAGCAAGACGATGAGAAAGAAGTAGGTTCAAATTGTGGTTGTAATACTGATACTTGTACTAATGATAATGTTCATGCTAGTTCATGGTGTTGGTATGGGCCATGGTAACATTTGCTTATAGCAGATGGTAGTTGGCAAGCACTGTTGGCTGGTTGCTTGCTTGGTTGATGTTAATGTCGTTCTTATTGATGGTGATTTGCTCTTGCATTTCTCGTGTATGGTTATAACGATGTAGTTGATATCAAATGTTGTTGCCAACAAACTCAATCTTAACCGAAAAATATAATTTTGGGCCTAAACAACGTTGTCTTTGCTTCAAGTTAATTTACTTGCAGTTTTATAATGACTATATAGAATTTTTATGTCAGCCAAGGCAAGGCTGGGCAAGGACGTATGATATAAATGACAAAAGGCAAGTAATGATCACACACACACACATATATATATATATATAAATACATTTTTTTAAATTGATATTAATTTTATGATAAAGCTTGAATGGTATAGGTTTGGTATGAAAAAGGGAAATACGCTA